AAAAGCGAGCCTGAGTGCGGTGTGCTGGGAGAGGGGTTAACTCTTCACGCTGGGCTCAGGCTAGCAGCAGGCACGGTTTTGTTTCTGCAGTCAGGACGGTGGAACGAGGTTAATTATAAAAAAATGAGCGAAGTGGCGAAGGAGCTGGCAGTCAAGAATTGTTCTACATAAACCACAAGCGATGCGGAAACTGCTACCAAGTAGAGGACCCTGCACCTTTAATTTACCAAATTATTGAAACTTGCTTTTAAGGTTCCCTCACGAAAAGGCATTGAAACTCTTTCATTTAAAAACGTGCTCTGCTTATGTAGCTTTCTGTCTCTTTTGCTTTACCGAGTCTTACGGGTAAGAAAGGAAACAGATTCTTTCACTCGCTGTCCGAACAAAAATGTGAGAATTACAACGCTCGGTATGCTGTATAATGCACAGAACGAGTTAGAAAATATTCCCTGTGTGATCTCTGTCAGCAGTTATGATTTTGAGAATTATTTACAGGAAGTGTGGACCCGTGTGGAGTTTTAAGGCTCTCATTCTGTCCGCAGACAACTTTGTATGAGAAGAAACAAACAGATGCACAAATGCTGCTGCAACTGACTAGCTCTCATTGTGGCTTCTTCACATGGTGAAATTTGAGCTTAAGACATAATGTCCGGGGAAGTCCAGGTTTTGGACAGGGATCGGAGATCATTTGGGTGATTTGCATGTATGAAATAATAACTCATATTCATGCATCTCAATGACTGGGCTCTTACTTGCCTCTTACGATGCATCTTTAATTCAGTTTCACTCAGCTAGTGGTACCCAAGCCAGGATTAATTTGGTGTGTGAAATTTCATAGAATATCATATCTCTTGATCTAAGTAAATGGCAAGGCAGTAAAACTAGAGGGAAAGAAGCAGACTGCAACTCAAAAGAGTTTTCAGATACTTGACACTAAGTGAACAGTTAGTGCTTTCCAAAACAAGCACGTCGTATATCACAACCAAATGCTATAGTAAGAACCCATCTTTGCCAAGATAAGGTTGCAAGTTTTTGTCCCAACTTACGTAATTTGTACATTAATAAAGCTTTTGCATGGATCAGAAATGATTACGCACCATCTAGCCTACCACAACACCTGAGACATACAGTAAAAATAAGTGACAGGAGTTAAATTTTAACTACAAAATAAGGAAAGAGAGGGTTTCCTTTACTACATCATTTTCTCCTAGACACACAGGCATTTTTCCTAAGCTGAAAATGTTGAATATGTCATTGCACAGCAATCCATAGGAATTAGGAGGCATCTAATGTTCCTGTTCGCTACAGTGAACGCTGTGTGCCTAACCATCAGCTTGTCATGAATTCCTGTGCTTTGTTGTTCAAAATACAATTTAGTTCTCTCAATGATATTTTCTTTATTACCTCATCATTCTTATAAAAGCACAACCTAGTTTTTATTGCTTTAAATATCTACTACATATCTATGTATCCAAGTACTACTACCTAATACATCTAAACACATGTAAGTAAGTATGATTTTTTTTTCTTAAATTTCATTACCAACAATAAAGCAGACATTGTTTGTGGTTTTTAGAAAAGAAGTTCTAGGCCAAATTCATATGTATGAACATGATCGAGTTATACGTGCAAACAGATGTAAAGGAATCTGTTGATGTAATTTGTTCCATAGGGCTCTGAAGAAAAGAACATACAGATAAGCACACTGATTTACTTTATTTTATATCCTCCTTAACTAACCCTTCCTTTCTGTGTATTTTCATTCCAGGGGATTCATTTATAAAACCACATTCCCGAGTGTTGTGTCATTATAGGCCCCAAGGAACTTTCTGTAAAACTGTGGTGGAAAGTTGCAGTCACATATCAGCTGAGATACTTTAACACATTTAGCCTACATTTACCTTGAAATTTCCATTGGGAACTAATTCACTGCATGTTGTTCAGAGCTGTCATAAATAGCGGAATACATAGCACCGTATGACAGTGCAATTGTTGATTCTGATGCCCAGAAGTGACCATGAGAGCTTGTGGGGCAAGCCAGTGAGTTGTCAGTCTTCTGAGTGACAGGTGACAGGAAAATCTACTTCAGAAAGTATGTAACATTTAGGCCTCTATTCTGAAAAGCACCTTGGAAAAAATACTATTAATATAACGGTAATAAAAATTGATTAAAGCAATGGACAAAAGTTGTTACATTATCATTTTTATGTCTGGGTTCGTATGTATTTGCTCTATGTTGTTAGACATTTGGAATGCTGATTTGTCACTAAATTGCAATAGTAAATCATTATTTACCTTTTCCTGTCAAGGTAATATATATTTATATTACACAATAATTTTGTAAAGCTTTTGAACAGCTGCTACAATATCTTATGGGGAAGAAACTAGGTTTTACTAAGAATATACCTATATATCTCCTCTTATATATTGTCTGAAAACTAGAACTGAACAAATACCTTCTTTGTAATTTTACCTACACAGTTTTGCTGACATGATGGTTTACTCTTCAAGGCACAGAGCATGATTTGGCCATTTGAAAGGTATTCATAATATTCAGCTAAGGTTTAGTTATCTGATAAGGCAGGAAAATTTTCAAACACATATTATACATCACTGGTACAGTAAGTCCTGAATATCTTGAAAATAATGGGATATTCAATGTCATTTGCCTTTTATCATTCTCCTTTTAAATGACTACAAACAATTTTGTGCTTGCTTAATCTAGCTTTTGATTTCATTTGAGAGGATTTACTTTTCTGTTTTATCTAGACATTTTGGGTGGGGGAATTGTCTTAGCTAACCAATTTTAAATCATTGTGTATACCAGCTCATGGTAATTCATTCCTCATGGTTACTTATTTGTTTAGCAACTGGAAGCAAATGTTGGGGTCAGCCTTTCTGTGGAAGGGGATGTGCCCACACATACCCAACAGTCGTATGAGAAAGGTGGTGGAACAAGTGTTGACAAGATTCCCACCTTCAGGAATCTCAGGCCAATACCCCCCCAGGTCTTCCGCAAAGCGGCGGTGAGGATAATTTCAGGGTGACTCTACTCAAAGCGTGAGCCGTGCCTCTGCTGCTGCTTGCATGTCTTTCCAAGGAAGGCATTTACACTCATTTTAAGAAAAATGAGCATGGTAGTTCTGTACGTAGCAGAAACACCTCGTTACAACATACATAAGTGCCGTTAGCTGTTTTGCAGCTCCACACGTGCTGATTCACATGATTTGGAAGCTCTGAGGAAAGGATTTTTACTGCCATACTGAAGGATAACAAAGGGACCATTCTTTCAGTGGGAGATTTCAGCAGAAAGCACATAAATGCAGATCATTTTACCTATTATGCAGGTGAGGATGTTGTCATCACGGTTTAAAGCCTTGTCCTCTTTGTGCTAAACGCTGCATAAACACAAGAAAAGGATCCATGCCAGGAACAACTTAGTCTAAGCACGGGATTAGATCGCTAGACTCAGTCAAAAGGAGCAGTACAAGGACTAGTAAATGCACTGCCTGTCGTGATAGGCATCATCCTCGGTACACAACTGGCGTATTTGTTGCTGAGGTTTTGGGAGAAGAATATCAAAAGAAGGTTTTGGGGGAACTTTTGAAAGAAACAGTTTGGTGTGTCTGTAAAGGTCATTGGGGAGTGCTTGGCTGTGGTCAGGGACAGCATGGAAAATCACGAAGGACGATTGAAAAAAAAAGAAAAAAAAGCATGGCAGAAGCTGTCTCACTATTAGGCTGGAGAAAATCAAAAGCAAAAAAAAAAAAAAGAAAAACTGGAATCAAGGGACTCAATTAAATTTAAGAAATAGCACTATTTAGGCAGGAGGCAAAAGCAAGTGGGTTGTGGAAGAATTCAGCCTGGTTGACAGACTGATGGTAATGAGGGCA